AAATGTAATTTTGAGTTTAAAGAGATCCATGTTGCCGTAGGGTTGCACCGGAGGTACGAGAACAAGAGGAGAGGGATCAGAGGCTGACGGAGGCTTGAAAGCCGCCTTAGAGTCGGAATTCGGTGAGAGACATGACTGGTGTCTCTCCCTAAGTGGATGTGTCTTGGCTATTTTCGGTGCCGTTTTAGGCCCTGCTTTGGCCTTTGGCACCCAGACTTGTTTGGATTTTGGTGATTCTTTAATAGGGGTGCCAAACGGTTCGGATATATCCGAATCGATCCGCATCTGTATCCGAACGGATGCGGATATGGTATGCTAATTTTAAAACCGGGCGGATACGGTAACGAATACGGATATGGTTTTGGATTTTTTTCGGATACGGATTCGGTAACGGATATGAGGGTTGCGGATATAGATATCACTACAACAGAAAAACTAATCCGCGAGGAACAATTTTGTCGTTAAAAGTCGAGATTTCCTCGTCGTAGTGTGTTGGCGAGGAAAAAACTTTGGTCACAATTTCCTCGCGATAGGGTGGTCAAGAAAAGTTTCTGCGAGGAATATTATAATTTCTCGCGAAATCATTTTTGCGATGAATACATTCTTTTCTCGTTGTTACTCTTTAGCCTCGATATTTTTCCTCTCCTAATCTCATACATTTTTCATCGCTAAACTACAGATTCAGGGCCAATGATACGTGAATAATATTTAATTTATATATAATAAAAGTTCTAAAAAAACTATTTTCGTCGTTGTATGTATCTTTCAGCGAGGAAACTGTTCCTCACCAAAGGTAAAATCTTTAACGAGGAAATTGATTTTCTTCATTATATGTAATGAGGAAATTTATTTTCTTCATTATGTGTATCTTTTTCTCATGGAAACAGTTCCTTAGTAAAGGGACTCAAAGACGAGGACATTTAAATTTGTCGTTGTAAGTTGTACCTCATATTCCTCGCCAAAGAAATTCAATTACGAGGAAATTTATATTTGTCGATATAGGTTATATGGTCTACAACGAGGAAAATTACTTTTGCCGTTCTAGGTTGTTTCACTATAGCGAGGAAATATGTTTTTGTCGACGTAAGCAATATACTCTATAATGAGGAAATATAACTTTCATCGACCTAAATATATAGCGAAAAAACTTATAATGAGAAAATTTTATTTCATCAATAATAATGCTATTACGAGAAAAACGTTCAAAATATAAATAATTGTCATCAATTGTCACCACAGTACATCAAAACAATTAAAATAAATAAAACAAGCAAGTTTCTACCATAAGTAACAATGCTAGCCTAAAAAAATAACAAATGCAACAGGATCAAAGAAATATTTCTCCAAGTTTAAGTTCACTAAGAATACTAAGCTGATGGATGTTCCTGGAAAAATTAGTCATAAACTCCTCAAACTTTTTGGCTTGCTCCTCTAATCTTTGGATTGCCTCATTTTGCGCATCGATATTTTGTTGTTGAGTTCCTACAAGTTGTTGGGTCTCTTGAAGCTGTTCTTACAACTCTTTATTCTTTTAGATATTTCATTCATCGAAGAACGAGAGAACCTTAATGGTAATGGTCTAGGACCAAAACTACAGCCCTTAATGTAGCCTGATTTGACTGAAAACTTTTGCACAAATTTCCTCCTCTGTCATTGTTCGAGTTCCATCAGGTTGAGCGGTATTTGCTCGCATCTTTATCATTTGATCCTATAAATAAAAAAATATATCCAGTTTAATCATATGCAACTTCTCAATTACAACCTAATCAATATAATCCTCTTTAGAACAGTAATATCAGCTTCACCTATATTCTTAAAATATTATAAAACCATGTATCATTGACACGTTACTTACCCATTTTTCTTTTCTCCCAAGTCCCATCATTTTTTTGTGCTTCTATACTCTGTTTCAAAACGATCAATTGAACCTTGCATCTCTCCAGTCTGTGCTGCCTATTGCATCAAACAAATTTTCTTTTTCAGCATATATATATGTACACAATTAAGTTACAAATTTATAAGCAAAACTAAAAAGTATCTTACAATTTGCTTTTGGTGTGACATAAATGATTTTGACCCAGCTTTGTGGTGATATGTCAACTTTGACCTATTAAGAACATTCTTCTTTGAGCGAATCTAAAATTATTAAGACATACAATTAGAAAGAGGTAAATGAAAAAAAGAAAAAATGTAATGAGTGGAGAAAAATAAAAAAAGATATTATACCTTAAACTTTTCACTAGAAAAATGAGTGCAAAGAAACTCCCATTCTTCCTGAGTCTTGACAGCTTCATGTTATGATTACATATCTCTGGACCCAAGGGAGCGACATGTCAAATTCAAACTTATTCTGCACAGGTATAATTTCATGTCAAACTAAATATAACAAATCAAAGCAACCAATATAATGCCTATAGCAAAACAAATCACTAACTTGGGTTCTTTTGATCAAGTTCTCCACATCTGCTTTTTCAATCTTCTTCCATTTTTCCACATTCAGTGGGACGTAGTTTTGAATTGTGTAACCAATTTCATTTGCAAACATCTCAGCATAAGGGCCTGTCGGTCTACCATTTTCTTCAGTCAAAGTCACAGGTATTTTAGAATTCAATTGGAAAAACACCTTATCTGCATTCACTCCTCTTGTCTTCCCTCGCACCTTTTTGGTTGTACCTTTGACATAATTTTTATTAAGAACATAACACATACGTATGTTTAATTCTCAAAATATATGTATATAATGTTTTGTATACCTGAAGGAGGCTCCTGATTAATATCTGACATCACATTATCACCTTGCTCTTCAGCTATGGTATTTACCACTGGCTGATCAGTGTAAATCACAGATACCCACTTTGTACCTCGTAAATCGAGAAGTGTTAGTGCTTTTAAATAATTTGAGACTTAATAAGTGCTACTAAAAGTATAGATGGGAGGGGTTATTACCCACAATTTGCTCAATCATCAAATAAATCCATCAAATAATCTGCTAGTAGTACAAAACACAGATTCTTTAACATTACCCAAAAATCATCAGTTTCATTCATTTCAAACTAATTGATTGAAAATAACTTTAAAATGAAGCAGCATTAAATAGCAAGTGCCAGCAGAAACAGTGTTACCTGTCAACATCCTTTTCACTATATAAGCACTTCCTGCTGCATGGATGCTTACCAGTTTTCAATACTAGAACTGATCAGACCACAAAAAAGATAATAACTGCTGCATGGATGCTTACCAGTTTTCAATACTAGAACTGATCAGACCACAAAAAAGATAATAACAAAAACGGCCAGACCATAAGCAAACACACTGAGGTACTACTCTATCTACGTCAGCATTTTGTTGCCTTTAGCGCTTCCTTCGCGGAGCCAGTTTTGAGGGATCGTTTCTTCGAAACTGCCTGAATTTCCTCCTTCGTTCCACTCGATCCTTTAGTCTTGGAAAGTGCAGCGGCACAATCTGCAAGTTTGTCGGTTTTAGGTGATTCTCCCTCAATCGCCTTTATAATGCGTACCTGACGTGATGTAAGAAAGGAATATGTTAGGGTATGGAACATCATTAATGACATACAACTACTTACACAAACGACTGACTGAAGTTCGACCGGGGAAGTTACTAATGTCTTGTGTGTCCGTTGCAAACGGTGAGCTAACGTTTGATACATTTGAACTCGGGTTTATCTATGACTCAGGTAATCCTTCTATGAATCAAGCAACATTCAGAGTTCAAAAGATGTTTGTTATGAGAAAGCAAAAGCTCGGATAAAGGGTATTGAAGATGTCCTGAGATTTGTGAAGGTCATTATGATGGATGATCACTATAATATTACTACATGATCAAATTGATTTTGGAGATCCACCAGCCATCTCATCAAGGGGAAAAAGAGATCTTTACTATGAACATCCATAAGGTGGTCAAAATAAGTTTATTTCAGTAGAATAAAGGCAACATGTTGAGCTCCATGCAAAGTGATTAAAACATATACAACTATTTGAGGAAAACACACGACCTGGGATTGAAACATCACATATGACAATTGTTATGAACTTATGATCACCATGTACATCAGTTATATGTATGGAGGCCCAGGAAATCTGCTAATTGTCATTACTGGACTAGATTTCTCTCCCTAAATTTCAATATTTCAATACATTGTCGTTTCATAGTACTTATGGATAGTTTTAGAACCAAAATACATAACTATAGACTATCAATACAATTAATCTACAGGAACAAAAGTCAAAACAAAATCAAGTAACCCGTGAAGAAAAGAATCTGCACTACGAAAAATAACTATTTGATGCAAACGACTAAAATCATAACGGAAGGTAGCACATCATGGAGAGTAAGGTTTACCATAGTAGGCACTAGGCACTTAAAAAAAGTGAAATTCAATATTACCTTAAATCTTGTCGGCTCGCTTAGTTCAAATACTAAGACATCCTCATCTTCTAAATTATGATCTATTGCAAAGCCTCTCCATCCACCACTAAGACCATTCTTCCTCCCAAGGTACAGGACATCATGTTCCTTACCCTTCTCATCTTCTAGAATCACTCTCAGCTCATTAGGAGAAAAGTTTTCTTTGCAAAACTTTGTCGGAAGTCCCTTAATGATAATAAAATACAAACACTTCAGGAACAAGTGACATTGATTTCACTTGATAGCTCGAGACTCAATTTAGTGGTAGGAGTGATTTTTAACTTACAAGCCAAAAACCACCAGATACATGTGATCGAACCATAGGCTTAATGAATGAAGGATAGTGGGATGTTAAATCTCTTTGAAGTTCCTCTGCTCTCTTTAATGCAACAATCTTTTGATCTTCAGAAAATAAAAACATAGGAACACAAAGCTCACCTTTACCCAGGTCATCCTCCAGCTCATGAACTACAAATGCTCTTCCAATGACTGCATTAGGGCCAGCCAATGAAATCTAAATACACATGAAGAATTGTGAATAGGAACAAAAGAAAATCAGCAAGATTAAAACATAAATCAAGATAGCGTAATATCCGTCATAAAAAATTACAACATAAATCTTCCTACATATGTTGGCCACTGTTAACATGAAATACCATCTGGACAGCACATGATTCCAACATTAAACTTTCTGCATATTCCTCATATCCATGTCCTGCAGTTACTATATTTTCATCGTGCCACATATGCATCAAACTTAACATTTCTTCAAACAAACAATAAAGATATGCTCAACACTGTAATTCAACTATTTGTAAAATTATCTGCAGTGCGGCACATCTATCAGCGTGTTGATGTTATGTAACTTCCTTCTCTAGAATAGATTCTTTTCCCCTAATTGGCTAATTTAACATGAAAAAAAATGCAAAAAATGCATTTCAAGATAATGATTCCATAAGCAGCAATAAGAAAAAAAACTTTTGATCGCTCGTTAATACTATGTGGTACACTAGTTCAATCCGTGAAATGCGATAAATCATTGATCAAAATCCAAACTTTGAGCAGCGAAAATAAAAAGGCAAGGGGAGCAAATAACCATCGTCTTCTTGAAGGAGAGTGACGACGCCCTCGACCTCGGAGTTCCCCTTGAGTACGGCAACGACCTTCTTGGAGGAGGCGACGACGGTCAAGGGTTTTGAAGCGGCGGCGGTGGCGGCGATAGAGAGATTGGAAACGGAGAAATTGAGGGGCTTGCCGAAGGAGAAAGAGGAGCAGAAAGGGCGAGCAAAGGAAGAACGAGGGCTTTCTCGAGGCGATTCCGTCGAGGGGTCGGCGATCAACGTAGACGAAAATTTCTGTCTAGCTTGTAACCTAGATGGAAATTTCCGTATAGGTTGAGTTTTTTAATTTTAAAAAAATTTATTACGTTTAGATTGGTATTCTAGATAGAAATTTCTGTCTAGAATGACTCAAACTAGACGGAACAATTTAGACGAAAAATTTTCGTCTAGTTTTCCTCAATCTAGACGGAAATTTTTTCCGTCTAGGTTGTTCCGTCTAGTTTGGTTGTTTTTCTACTAGTGTAACAAAATCTGTTTTCTAAAGTCTGAAATCAATGTATATTCAAAAAATCGCATAGTTTATACACACACGTACGATTCTCCATTGATATCGAAGCATGGTCACCATATACCTTAAACATTATGCCAAATAGGAATAAGAGATTTCATTGTACGTTTGGTTTAATGTATTTTTAGAAGTCAATATTATCTATTAACATAATCTAATTTTAGAAGTTTAAAATAAATGTATATTTAAAAATCGTAAATTGTTTAAATCTTATCAGATTTGTGAGCAATCCTTTAGCATTGGGATCCCTTTGAACCTGAATAAATATTAATTGGTTGTTAATCTTCATGTGAATTGTGCAAAAACCTTCAAAAAGGAACCATCAACTAGACAAACCAAATCCTTATTTCTATTAATACTAGAGATTTACCACATGTTAGACATTTATTAAAAAAAATCTAAATTGGCCCACGATTGTTGACTTGTATATGGATATTTGTTAGGCCATTGATATTAGAGGCCCGCTCTTTTCTTTAAGTACTCGCCTACTTTTTACCCAAATTCCCACCAAAATTTTCGCCAACGAATAAGGAGGATATTATTATTTCCTCGGTGATTGGTTTTTTAACAAGGAAATGATTTCTCACAAAACAAAATCTTTTAGTGAGGAAGTCTTAAATTTGTCGCCATTGAATTTGGCGGATTTTACACATTTTTCCGCCAAACTAATAATGAGAAAACTATTATTTCCTCGCTAATGGATTCTTTTAACGAGAAAAGGGTTCCTCGTAAAACAAAAAAAAATAGTGAGGAAACCTTCAATTTGTCGTCAATGAATCTGGCGGGTGTTGCACATTTTTCCGCCAAATTAATAATGAGGAAACTATAATTTCCTCGCTAATAGGTTCTTTTTTACGACAAATCGGTTCCTCGTAAAACAAAAACTTTTAGGGAGGAAGCCTTAAATTTATTGCTATTGAAATTGGTGGGTTTTGCACATTTTTCCGCCAAACTAATAATGAGGAAACTACTATTTCCTCGCTAATTGGTTTTTTTTAACGAGGAAACAGTTCCTCGTAAAACAAAAATTTTAGTGAGGAAACCTTTAATTTGCCGTCAATGAATTTGGCGGGAGTTGCAAATTTTTCCGCCAAATTAATAGTGAGGAAACTATAATTTCCTCGCTAATAGGTTCTTTTTAACGAGGAAACGGTTCCTCGTAAAAACAAAAACTTTTAGCGAGGAAGCCTTAAAATTGTCACCATTGAAATTGGCGAGGTTTTTTTTTTCCCGTCAAACTAATAATGAGGAAACTATTATTTCTTCGCTAATTGATTCTTTTGATGAGAAAACGGTTCCTCACAGATTATGGATCTTCAGTGAGGAAATCATACTTTGTCGTTGTTACATTTGGCGGGTTTTCCTCTATTTTCCGCCAAATGAATAACGATGAAATGATTATTTCCTCGTTAAATGTGCATTTCACGATGAAAAAGTTCATCATCAAAATCTCATATTTCCTCGCCAATAAAATAACTAGTTAGGAGACCAAATCATTATCATCTTTAGAGAGGAACTAAAATTTTCATCGTAGAAGGTGGTCTACTGTGAGGAAAATATATTCCTCGTAGAAGACCTACTGATATTTACCGAGGAAACAATATTTTCCTCGTCGAAAGTGATATTTGTTGAGGAAAATAATTTTATCGTAAAAAAGTTGGTCGCTAAAAGACCTGTCTATTGTAGTGTATCCATAATATAATAGTGATTCGGGTAATCGGGTCCCAAATTTATATTTACAAACCCGCTAACCCAAAACCAAAACTAAAAAGGAAAAAAACCCTAGGCCCTCACCCTCAGCCATCAGTCCCCCTCCACTCTCCAGTTCTCCACTCCATCAACCTCCACGATTCTCCACTCTCCATTCTCCACTTTCCAGTCCACTCCAACCCTAGGCCGCCTCCCTCAAACTGCTACAGCGACGGCGGCGGGATATTTCCGGCGATCTCACAGCTAGCGATCTTACAATCGTGCTCAAATTTCTCCTCTACCTTCTCGCCAGCGAAGAGTCTTCACTCGCTAGCGAAGAGTCGCCAACGAAGGTTGGTCAAAGACTCATTTCTTTATGCTCTTATTTGTTTCAATCAGTATAGAATAAAAGAAAGTATATTCATATAGATCTGATAGTTTGTTCAAAAAAAATTAGTCAATTTTTGTGGGTAACACATGTTTAAGTTGGATTGTACTCTGTATTTTGTATGTTACTTTGTTTGAAAATATATGATAAATTTTCAAGAATCGTGCATAGAATCCATCTCCACATGCAAAAAAATTCACCACAAATCTCATTGTTCTTGAATTTTCAGACACTGAAGCTCATTTCTAAAGATTTTCTATCGCTTGAAGGAGCAAGTATGCAGAAGATTGTCAGTTAACTTGAAATATGATACTCAGAAATAGCATGATAACGTTGAAATAGAAAGAATATTAAGAAGCAATAATACCCCAAAATACACAGACTACAGTTTGTATGCATGCCTGGATAATTTTAGCCGTCGGATCTTATACCCTCAGGCCGTCGGATCTCGCCCACTTTGTCTTCGTCGGATCCGCCGTCTTCTGCATAAGGTCGAATCAAAACTCTGCTTTAAATTCATTAACAATATCTTCTTTCATATGTGTATAAGATTTTGATTAAGTTTTTTTTTAATTTAATTGAATAGAAATCATGTCTAATCCTTCGATTCAAGCGTCTAACGAAGAACGAACTGTTGAGACTAATGTTGAACCTACTATTGAACCCCTGGTTGAGGAATCTTCAAGTAAAATTAATGAAAAACCTGAAAAGAAAAGAAGATGTTATTCTGAAGTGTGGAAAGATTTTGATAAAATAGATAAAATCGAAAAGAAAATAGTTGATGGAAAAGAGGTTGTCCCCAAAATTATTAGAGCCAAATGCAAACATTGCTCATTTGAAGCTAATGGACGTAGTATCAGGGGCACTTCCCATCTTAAAAATCACATTGGGAGATGTCCTAAAAAGAAAAGACCCGATATTCGTCAACAATTGGTTCAAGCTACTATGAAAAATGAAGATGGGACTTGTTCACTTAGTAATTTTCAATTTGATAATGAGAAGAGTCAAAATTTGCTTGGAAAGGCAATAATCATGCACGAATATCCATTTAACATTGTAACACATGAGTTTTTCCTCAAGTATGTGCATTCTCTCCGTCCAAATCACAAGGTTCCAAAACGTACACATATCACAAAGTTGTGTATAAAGATTTATGAAGATTATAAAAATCTCTATTGGACTTGTTTACGAAATCTTCTATAAGAATAAGTTTAACAATGGATAAATGGACATCATTATCACAAAATTTGTCTTATTTGTGTATCACCGCTCACTTTGTTGATGAATCATGGAAACTACAAAAACGGATCATTGGATTTATCAAAGTTCATAGTTCTATGAGGAAAGACATTTGCAATGTATTAATTTCGTGTTAGCTTGAGTGGAAAATTGATAATAAGATATTATCGATTACGATGGATAATGATAAAGCTAATGATGTTGCCGTAAAATTGGGAAAAGAACGTCTTAAAAAGTGGCTACCTTGCGGCAGAGTCTTTTTCATGTAAGATGTGAAGCTGATAATAACATTTTATTACAATTTTATACCCACATTATCTATTTTATATGAATAAATATACCACTAGTAATTGTTTTTATCTTTAATTGCAGGTTAATGAAGAATAAATCTCAAAACTCTCATCTCTCAACAACAAACCCTTTATTTAATGAAGA